TTGTAGCGAAAAAGCAGCCCTGCCGCCTGGCGCTGTGACAGTGAATGACTGAAAAACAGCAAAAGGTCAATGCAAGTGCAGTTACACCAAAGAGACTGCGATTTTCCTTTATTATCCCCTCCTGTCTGAGTGAAATATGGTCAGTTTTCACCTTGTCCTGAAAGCCACAGCTGAGCAGTTGGCTCTGCCATGCTTCGGGTGCCGGGGCCTGTCCTCCCTCTGGCAGCCTATGGGAAGCAGCAGCAGCTCCCTGACCTGCACTGTGCGTTCCCTCACGCCTCTCAATTTCCTAACTGAAAGCCTCCAATAAACTTTCCCCAAGTGCTATGCTACGTACAGAGATAAAAGAAGCTTGCACACCAGGCCTAGAGAAGTTAAGTCAGGCTAGGTGGAGCTGTGGCTTGAAATTTAGTGCTCAGGGTGCAAAGGGTAGGGACTCAGCACTGTGGCTGGCAGCAGCTGCCTCAGTGAGAGTTAGATCTGCAGCCCCGGAGGTGGCACTGCAGACCTCTCCCGTCTAGCCCACTGCGCCCCTCAGCAATGTGCTTCGTCAATCTGCCTGTTCTGCTCCCCACTCTGTCTCTGGTGAAGCCTTCCACCATCCTGCACCACTGGTTTGTACCCAGTTCTGTATGGTTAAAAATAAATAAATCTTTAAAAAAAAAAAAATGTAGTGCTCAGAAGCTTCCAGAGGACAGGCAGAACGGCGTTAAGCAGCAATAGGAGCTGTCCCTTCCTTCAATAGCAGCAACTGATGGAGAGGACACTGCTGAGAGCACAAAGGGGAATAAGTTTCTCAGGCCAAGATACTACCTGTTTAACAACAAAAGGTGTTTTTTAAGATACAAATTCACACAATTTAGAGGAATAAAAAAATAAAAGTTCTTGATAAAGATAACAGCTAATGGCCCTCCCTGGTGGCGCAGCGGGTTAAAGCACAGCACTGAGAATCTAAAGCCACTTCCGCATGAGTTCAAATCCCGCCTGCCCCGGAGGAGACCACATGGCGAGGCAGACCTCTCCTGACCCGCCCACTGCTCCCCTCAGCAGTGTACTTCGTCCATCTGCCTGTTCTGCTCCCTGCCTGTCTCTGGTGAAGCCTCTCACCGCCCCTGAGCCTCTGGCCTGTACCCCAGTTCTGTATGTACAAATAAATAAATCTTTAAAAAAAAAAAAAAAGATAACAGCTAGAATGATTTGTCTTCCCTTTAGCTCTTTATTTTCCCCCTCAAGAGCAAATGATAACCTACACAGCAACAACCTGCCCACTTCCAAGTTCACCAGGACTTCTGAACAGCCCTGGCGATAGCCACCATCCCTTCCTTGGCTGCTTTTGATTGTCTTTTATTTAGAAGTAGACCTTCCCCAGAGGCAGGTAATTTTTCTTTTTAAGACTTATCTGTCTGAGTGACATGGAAGGCAGGAATTGACAAGGCTTGAACAATAAACTTGGCAATTAAAAAGTCACAAAAGATTTAAATAACAGAGGTGAAAAGGCTCCTGGCTGCTGATGGAGTTCCCTGCTCCCCTTGCAGATGGTCCCAGGAACCTTCATCAGCTGCTCTATCATCCAGGTGAAGACAGCTGCTGCATCAGAGTTTTTGCAGTGAAATTTTCTTCATAAAAAGTAAATCAGTTCCATGACTGGCTACATCTGATGTTTGCGGATTCCATCTGGATCTCCACATGAATAGGTGTCTCCTGCAGTGCTGAGGCAGGCAGCAAGGGATGCCCCTGTCAGGACGCCTTGGTGCAGACAGCACAAAACTGGTCTTTAGAGGGAGAACCTAGGTATCCAGTTTATGAGGAGGAACTTGAAGCTCAGAAAGGTCAGGTAGCTTCTCTGAAGTCACACAATACTGAGTAGGAGACAGAGAATCTGAAGTCGGTCTATTCTACCGCACGATGTTACTGGTCCTCAAGCCCTGTCCTCTTATGCCTCTCAGGGCAAGATCACACCGTAGCCAGAAAACAGATAAATTGTTCACTGGCTGTCTCCACCAGAACACTCTGCTACCTAAACATCTGCTACCTTATATGTTTGCAGAAAGCATTTTTAAAGACATAATTTGCTATCTCCAGTAAGTGCTGTAATTATTAAGACACAACATTCCTAAGCAGAAAGAGGGGCATTTTCATCCACTGAGTGCACTGCCTCCATTCTATCTTCAGAACGTGTTCTTGCTTATCTTTTGAGAAAGTAAACAGAATGAAGGGGCAAAGTGAGATGCAAGAAACAACCATTCTCAGTCCAAGTGCATGGACTGTTCCCTGTGTTGGATCCTGACACTAATACATTAAGCTCATGATTACAATAAACACTGTAAGGGAACACAGGCATTCCGATACCACAGCTAGTGTAGCATAGGGATAGTTTAGTGTAAGTATGAACTTCACACTGTGTGTAACAACTAATGAATGAGTCCCAGCTAAGGGCTTTCTGAAGGCATCCTGAGACCTTCCAGACTCCAGAAGCCCAGAAGTCAGGCAGATAGAAAGCAGCTAACCCTGGCTCTCCACACACTGAGGCTGGAGGAGGTGACAAATCTAAATTCACTTCCACTGAGTTCCCCAAAGAGCAAAGTTGTTCTTCTTTAAGCTACTTTTTTGGGAACTTTAAGATTTTATTTATCTATGCATACAAGAGCTGGGGAGTAGGCCAGAGATGTGGGGGCTGAGAGGGTTCCCAGAGACAGAATGGGGCACATAACAGGCCTTCTGACTGAAACAAGTGCTGAAGGAAGTGGCAGATGAGACAGGAGGGGTCTGCTGTGGCACATGGGTCAGTGCCCTGACTTGGTGTCAACTCGTGCCACAGTAGCTGCCAATAGCTTCATAGTGATGAGAAGTAACCCCTTATACCACCAGGGAGGCCCATTCTTTGGGAAAATTTAATACTGCTTTTCAGCACCTCATGCTACACAGCAAACATTTTTTTTCAGGAAGCAAGTGGCTATCTTTTTTTCTCCAATAAAAGCCAAGGCTTCAAATAGCGGCACTAAACACAAATAGCTCAGTCACTCACCCTCTGACAAATATTATAAAGAGTCCTCTTCAAAGCAAAGGAGCATTATCATTCCTCTGCCAAGAGCAACATCTTTCCTCAAAACCCTCAGGAAAAGGCTGCTGAGAGCCGCTCTTGGCCATGGGGCCAAAAGTACAGCTGGGCAGCCGCCTGCAGGCCTCAGCAACTCCCTCCATGGCGGCAGTGTCCAGGGCCACAGGAGAGCCACACAGGAATACAACCAGATCCTCAACTGCCAATTCCACACCTGAGACAGCTGTAACTGTCACCCAGAAGCCATCGACACTGACAGGAGCGAATACATCCTAAGAGGAGGAGACACTCATCAATAAAGACATCAAGTTTAATGGTGTATCTTCCCTGGGGTTACCAAAGGCAAATCACTCCCAGTGTTTCGTCCCCTTTCCTTCTGCCAAGACTTGCAAAGGGCACCAGCTTCAACCCCTGTCCAAGACGCAACTGCAGATTCACTGTAAGTCCATGCCTAACATCGTCGCCTAGGGTGTCCTGGAAATCCTTCTCCATGGTCACAGGTCTGAATCGCAAACTCACAAGCACAATCCATTATTTTCTTCAGTTATCAAACATTTTGAGTAACTACTGTGCTTAAGTTCAAAAGAAGATAAACATAACATACATACAGCTTTAGT